AGTGGAGCTGGTTTAGTTTATCTAACAAAGGTTTGTTTCTCCATCAGTGATAATTTGATGAATTTATCCATCTCTGTCTGCCTGTTATTGCGGCTTCCCACCTTCATTATCAAGTACATTTCTTGACTCAGACTCAGACTCGACACTCATATTAAGATTTTTTAATCAATGTACCTGTGCATTGTCATATTTTTATGTTCCAGGTTCTGCTACATATAATGTTATTGCTGAAATAACACAAATAGATATGAAGAAAAAAAACAGATAAACATATGAACCAGAGGAGCCCGTAGGAAATGTATTTGTATTGTATGTGTTTATTCAGATTGTATTTCTGATTGCAAAGACTTTCAGAAAGGACAGGATTAACAAACACTAGGTTTACTAAACCTGCGCAAATTTGCGTAACTTCCCTAAACCCAACACCCCTAGCAGGGCCGTGCAGAGAGGTTTAAAGGGGCGGGTGCTCAAAGTTAAAAAGGGGCACATTGAACCAGGCTGAATAACAACAACACACATTCATCAAGAATCTAATATGGGCAACAAGGCAAAGCAAACGTAGCCGATGTTTTACCTGATGGGTACAATGTTGCTGTTGAGGGGTTGCTGTGGATAGTGCTGGAGGGCAGGGCTGTGCTGATCTGAGACTGTAGACATTAAAAAGTCCATAGGAGAGATGGTAGCTGATTAAACAAGTGTCATGAGATAATAACAAAATGCAAAGATTGGTGACAGCGCTTGGAACCATAAGGACACAAAAATTGTGAGAAGAAATTTAGGCTCTGCCTGTGATTCACTCTTTGCTTCTCTTCTTCCTTCCATCCCATCATTTCATTTATCACTCTCCACTTGCTGTCTTTCTGATAACAAGGCACAACTTGCTATTGCAATAAACTATAATTTAATTATCCACACCTAACAACTCTTGCATTTAATTTATAATAAAATGATGACAGAAAAATGTTATAGCACTGCCTTTAGCAGCCTCACACAGCTCTACTGTTTCCTCCTCATGTCCTTACCAGCCATGTCTGCACAATAAGATAAGATAAGATAAGAGATAAGATAAAACTTTATTAATCCCTCGGGTGGGTTCCTCTGGGAAATTCGGCTTCCAAAAGCACAGCACCGACAGAAGTTACAGAGTGTGAGCAGAATATTATATATATATATATATATATATATACACACACACACACACACACACACACACCTATATAAATACAGAGACATATATAAATAAAATATACGAAGGGGATAAATAGAATAAATAGGAATAAAAATACAAGTGAATTGCACATTTAAAGTATTGAGTCTATTGCACCATTGACTATTAACAAAAGTATTGCACAAAAGGTATTGCACAGTGAGGTGAAGAGGCACTACAGCTTAGTTGTTCCCCCCTCCTTTGTCCTCCTGTTTCCCCTCCCTCTCCCCTCCAGAGAGGCGTTAAACAGTCTGATGGCGTGTGGGACAAAGGAGTTTTTAAGTCTGTTAGTTCTTGTCTTTGGGAGAAGCAACCTGTCACTGAACAGACTCTTCTGGTTGTTAATGGCCGTCTGCAGAGGATGCCCAGCATTGTTCATAATGTCCAGCAGTTTTTTTAGTGTCCTTTTCTCTGCCACTGTCACCAGAGTGTCCAGCTTCATGCCGACCACAGAGCTAGCCTTCCTGATCAGTTTCTCCAGCCTGGATGAGTCCTTCTTTGCTGTGCTGCTCCCCCAGCACGCCACAGCATAGAAAAGTACTCCAGCAACCACTGACTGGTAAAACATCCTCAGGAGCTTCCTACAGATGTTAAAAGACCTCAGGCTCCTGAGGAAGTACAGTCGGCTTTGGGCTTTTTTATACAGGTGCTCTGTGTTGCATGACCAGTCCAGTTTGTTGTCCACCCACAGCCCGAGGTACTTGTACTTGTTGATCACCTCCACCTCCAATGTTATATCATGAGTAATTTTTTTTTTTTTTAAAGATCCATCTAAATAAAACACACACATGCACGCACACACAGTGACATTTTAGACCTTCTTCAGAATACTGTATATATATATATATATATATATATATATATGGGCATCACAGTGCTGATCCAGAATCCTTACATTATTATTCATTACTAGAGCTACAATAATAAAGCAATGAGGAGGGGGAAGTAATAAATATGAAATAATGTCATTAATATTATCATTATTTAAGCAGCGGAGGCATGTGTTCCATTTGTTTCACTATCCACTCTGTGCAGGGGCAAAGCTTATTACATTTTTAAACTGTAGAGATACAATCATTTTACTGCTGTAAAATCCAAATTTTGTCTTGTTTAAAATATAAATCTAATATAATCTGCTTCTTAATGTATGTTCTTTAAAATACAGCGTGTGTTTTTTAATATATTATAATTATAATAATGCATAATTATGTGGACATGCATATTAGATCGTTTTTAGTGAAATATAATCCCTCCAGAAAGGCAGGAAAAGCCCGGAAACTTACTTTAAAACTAAATATGTTCCCTAAAACGGTGACAGAGCTACAGACCCATGACAGCCTTACACAGGTAGCCAGCAGCTATGACCAGCACTACTTGTGCAGTTAATAAAAGGACAGGTAATGTTTGTCGCGCTGTTGCACACGCAGCACGCTCGTTTGTTTCAACATACCAACGTGTACGTAATAAGCTAATACTCCTGTGTGCTACACACTACAGTGTGCGCTGTACACCTACTTACTGGGTTTGTCGCATCAGTCTGTGTCTCTGAGTTAACTTGTGTTTCTCCTACAGCTCCGGACTGCAAAAAATGCGCGTGCTCTTTGTGAGCTCGTTCCTGGCTCGTAACCAGCGCGTTCTGCCGTCAAGGGCGATCATTGGTTAAATGTGATCATGTGACTGATGGAAGCCGGATCCTTTTATTTAGCAAAACTGTGACTAATAGTTAAATATTATTGTTGAGGGGCACAGACAGGACTCCGCACGCACACACACATTAAAAAAATAATAATAATAATTTTTTTAAAAAAGTTGCCTCAACAAAAGGACACCTAGGGCACCCATCAGGAAAGGGGTGGGTGCTCAAGCCCATCTAGCACCCCCCCCCCCCCCCCCCCCCCTGCATGCCTGCCCCCTAGAATTACTGTCACCCCTGCAGAGATTTTCACAGGTCGTCAGCTCGTTTCTCCTCCAGCTTTTGTTGTGCAAACCACCCATTATCCTTGAGGCCTTGGCAGATCCAAGTCAGGCCAAACCTCTGTGTTACAACTTTCCTAAATGCCTGCCGTATCTATACAAAATATCCCACACATTGACTGACCTGCAAATATAAAAGACACACATTCACACCCAGTGTTGGTCAAGTTACTTGAAAAAAGTAATCAGTAACTAATTACTGATTACTTCCCCAAAAAAGTAATCCCGTTACTTTACTGATTGCTTATTTTCAAAAGTAATTAATTACTTAGTTACTTAGTTACTTTTTAAAAACACGATTTACAACCTGAATAGGTGATAAAGCGATAGATCTCTCAGCCCAATTCTACTTTTTCTACATAATCCATCATACAAAATGTAATCAAATGGAAAAGTCTCTTTTTAAAACTTGTTTTATTAGTTTTAACCTTTTAACTTTATGCATCAAGCAAAAATGTAATTATATGCACCTTTCTCTGACTTGAAGAAATTAGTTTAACATTTAAACCTATTTTCTGCACATTCCTGCACATAAAATAAAATATTTTTTTGTGTTTACACTCAGTCTTTCAAATAGATGCAAGTAAAACACAGCAGAAAATAAATAAAGTCAAAGACTCAGCGGTCCTTTTGCTCTATTTTCACCTGTAAAGCAGGACTGACGTAGGCGGAAGTTTACCCTGGTGCAGGTGTGCCGCGGTCAGTGGAAGAATCCGCGAGTTTCTCTGTGAGTTTCCCATTACCTAGTTGGCACTCGGTGCTTGCTCAGAAGTTTAGGGGGTTTTTTTGCTGTAAAAAGAAGTTTTCTTCCTATGCACAACGAACACTAATGTTTTTGTCACTTTTTTATGGAATCAAACTCAAAGTAAGGTCAGTACTTCCACGCTTTAAACGCTGCACACTCTCTCCCACAATTGATATGTTATCCATTGTTGCTCTGCACACAGCTGTTGTCACTAACGGCGCACTTGCTTATGTCACTGTCATGAGACATTCTCGCAAAAAATATGTATATATATATATATATGTGTGTGTGTGTGTGTGTGTGTGTGTGTGTGTGTGTATAACTAGACTTTATGCATATTATGTAAGGTGTGGCTATATAAATGTATGTACAACTCTGTGTATATATGTTTATGGACAGGCATGCAATGTAGTGACAAGGATTGACAAGAACTAATATTGCATATGAGAAATATTGCACATAGAAACTACCATGGTGTATTGTACGCTGCAGGTAAGGAAGGAAAGTAGCCTTGCAGGGAAGGAAAGACCTGAGTCTCTCATGGTTGGGGGAGGGTGTGTTTGCACAACAAAAACAGGAGAACAATGGAGCTGAAGACCTGTGAAAATCTCAGCTGGGTGCCAAGAGGTGTTAGGGTCAGGGGAATTTACGCAAATCTGCGCAGGGCTAGTAAATCTAGTAGTAGGGACTTGCACCAGGGAAAAAAAGGCTCAGCAATTCTAGTGTTAACAAAAAAAAAGTCAAAACTCCAGTGATAATGACCCAAACTGTTGTTCACACCTTGGCTCATGTGATGAGGCACAGGATCAATATTGAGTTAACGGCCTTCTTAAGGGATTCCACCACTAGGGTTTAAATACCTGGGATTCTCCACCATTTGGTTTTAGAACTGAAGAAGATTCTTGGAAAAGATATGAAACACCTTCAGGAAACTTAAAGAAGTCCAGTCACTTTCTCACCGAGCTCCTTAGACACTCAAGTATGACATAAACACACTACCATAATCTGTATGATTGACACACATATAGTTGAGTGTCACCACTTTGATAATGTCTGACATTTTTTCTTTATTGTAGTGCTCTGTACGCTACTCTGCACTGGACATGTTCAAGGTGACTGAGAAGTTTTACTTTTTCTTGTTTCTTTCTTTTTTATTTATTCAGTAAAGATTCATCTTAACTGCTTTATCAGTCTTAAGCACTTCACATTGTTGTTTTCATTTCATTGTTCATCACTAATTTATAATTTTATGAATATAAACACAGTTTGTGTTTTGAATAGTAAATTATATATATGAACAATATATGAACAGTGTATGAACATACTGTCACAGATTGTGTCGTGCATAAAAGTGTTTCAGATTGTAAACTTTGTGGTTGTGTTGGATTCTAGATGCTGTGCTAACTATTGAACCCAAATCGTCCAGTTTTTTCATTGGAGAGTTTGTTACCTTCAAATGTGACATGAATGAAGGAGAAGACACTGACTGGTATTACGAAATCAAGAAGGATGGTCTAGAATTTGTGCGCTACAACACAGACAAAGACTACAGATTTGAAATTACATCTACAGGTTACAGTGGTGAATATCAGTGCTCTGGTAGCTTAGTGAGCTCACATCATATAAAGAACAGTAATACTGTCTCTATAACTGTATTAGGTAAGTCCTCAGTGACCGACAGCATAAATATATGTTCCCTGTTCAAATACTCAACTGAATTATAAAATAGAGAACATTTAATTAAATTTCTCACTGAAACTTGAATTTTAACCAAGATCACTGTACCTGTTACTTCGTTCACAGTAAAGTCAGTGCAACAATACTCACAGACCCTGAAATTTGTCATTAGCAGGTGTGTGAGTTTTAACAACAGCAATTATGAATGAAATGAAATTTAATTACATTTCTAAAGGAAAAGAAGAAACATCAAAAGCTTCATGAAGTTTAAAGTGAAGATGTTTCTGTTATCTAAACCAAAACATGAGGAAGAGACATTTAAAGCATCATTATGTTTCCTTCAACAGAGAATAGACAAACATTTATGCTGTGGTTATTTAGAGATCAACTAATAAAAATATAAACTGTATTGTTTTTCAATGTTCATGTATTGTTATAACGAATCACAGATATTTATTTATTTTTCTTCCTCTATCACAACAGCAGATAAACCCAGGGCCACACTGACAACAGGAACAACAATCATACCAGTAGGGGGCAGTGTGACACTGACCTGCTCTGTGCAGAGCTCTGATGGATGGAAATATGAGTGGTTCAGACGAACCCAAACAACCTCTGAAGTTCAAATCAGAGATCAACAAAACAGAGATATCAGAGTATCTGAAGGAGGAATCTACAGCTGCAGAGGAACAAGAGGAAACCCAGTTTACTACACTGATAGAAGTGATGAAGTCACCACTGAGAAAACCAGTGAGTTCAGTAATTTAGTTTGAAATATACATTCACTCATGATTATCAATATACTGTGTTAAGTTTTCTCTGCTGATTTCATGTTTCTATTTGTATCTATTATGAGAAGCCTTCTGTCTTCTTGTGAATCTGTTGTTGTGGTCGGAGCAAGGAGACGTCACATAAAATAATGGAAAGGAGTAATTTACAAATAACATAAAGCATCATAATGCAATTGAGCAAAAAATGTATGCACTGAAAGGATAATATTCATTATGGAGCTGTGTAAGAGGACAGAGTAGAGGAAAGTGAATTACATCAGTATTAATACAGCTTGGACCCTTTTAACGTCCTGTGCTTAGCAAAAAGAAGGATGTACTCATAGCATGGCAGTTTGATCTTATTGCTTCTTATTTGTTGTTGGAAACCTACATAGAGGTATACTGATGTTGAATGCTCACAACATCCGGGCAGTGCAATCCTATGGTGACCACACTGTTTTAAACCCCTTGGTTTAGACTAGCTATAGATGGTGTAGCGGCAATCTTTGGTCCTTCTTTGCCACTTCTGCAGGACGTAAAGTTTCTGACTTGTGCTTTTGTTAGATTACCGTAAATCCCGCACTATAGAGCGCACCTGATTAAAAGCCGCATGCTCTAATTGTAGAAAGAAAATCTATTTTGTACTTGTACAGGCCGCACCGGATTTTAAGCCGTATGCATTTCACTTGTAATATGAGATATTTACACAGAAATATTACACGTGAGGATTTTTTACGTTTAATTTAATCCGTAAAGTAACATAAACATGGTAACATAAACGTTATGGTAACATACAAAAATACATACTGCAAATGCTTTTTTTCCTTGAACAGCACCTGTAACACGGCTACCTTTAAGTATACATACGTATCGGTAACACACAAATTACGTTGCTTATGGTTTTTTTACGGAACAGTGCACAAACAACATTACAACGTCTCTTAACAACCGATAAAAATATATCGCGTATATATGCTACTTATCATTTTGATTGGTCTACTGTTACCAGGCAAAATGTTTTTGGCCGCATGAAAAAAAAATATGCATTAGCCACACGTCAGTATAAGCCGCAGTGTTCACAGTGTGGGAAAAAAGTAGCAGCTTATGACCCGAAAACTATGGTACTTGTATGCCTTTCAGTAGCAAAAAACGAGGAAAATGTAAAAAAAAAGGAAAAACATTTATTTATTCTACACAAACTCGAAAAGTACAAAACAAATGTCTCAAGTAGGATCTCCATTTACATTTCTATGATATTATATCTGAAATAACTATCACAGCAATGATCAGAAAACTGTTCCTCCATGCCCTGCGTACTAGCCTCACCTATCATCACCACATGGTGGCCCACTACACACCGCCTTTACGACACCTACCAACACTTTAAAACAACACAACAAAACAGGACAAATTTATGGAGCTTAATATATTACATTACAACATAAAATAATCCAGATTATAACTAGAATTTGCACAAATTTTACATCATAACAAAATACTTAAATATGACCTGATATAGTTGAGTAAATATTGGCCTGAATTGTCTATGTTCCAATAGAAGGGGTCCAAAAATCACAACACGAACAACATAATAGAAATAAAAGGAACTAATTCTCCTTAGAGCGCTTACAGAAACCCTCCTTTAAAACCCAAGGGTTTCCAGATTACGTACATCAATTCACTGTCCCCTCTAGAATGATTAACACTGTATCACCAACATAACACAATTTACAATGTTCATAAGGAAATGGTCCCAGTTTCTACTAGTCAGTCCCAACAAAAATGTCCTTTGGATATGAAACCATATACAGTGTCTTCTTTGAAGGTGTAACTGTAGTGAACAGGAGACGACAGTGGGATCCTAGTCTGTTAAGCTGACCAAAGATACAGCAGCCGGAGTGAGCAATACAGTTTGGGGTCCACAAAAGCAAAGAAAATAGAAACCATACCTTTGTCTCTGGGTGACACTGCATGAGAAAATCACCAGGCTACGCAACGGCAACGCTTTCACACACAGCCGAACGAAACACATACCCTATTCACCGCTGACTCACATTGTTCTTGTGTGTGTTTCTTAGAATGAGCCCAAACTCAGGCCAGTAACTGGCAACATTAAGTGAGGTCGCTAAAGCCCTCGCAGAGACTTGTTAGCTCCGAACATTCACTTAACGGCCGAACTCGGCCTAATCCAACTGGAAACGGAGGTAGGTCTTAAAGAAAAGTGCAGCTAAGGTTAACTTTCGCTCCGACTTCCCACCACCACGCTGTCGGCGATGGCCTGCAGCACCACATGTTGTGGCTAGCGGCTAGAAAAAGCCAAGCTTTGCACAAGCAACTTAATTTTGACTGACCTCTCGGATCCCCTTTTGGGCTCAGCCGAAACGTGAGGCTTCCTTAATGTGGCTGACCGTGACAACATGCGCGAGACGGCTACTTCTCCTCTCCTTGGCTCCACACACACACACGAGCGCGTGCGGGTTCTCTGTCTTCTCATTGATTTTCTCTTGCCTTTCTCAAACAAGCCATTCAAGGCACTCTATGGCAACCCCGACAATCTACATACCTTAGAATAGAATAGAATAGAATGCCTTTATTGTCACTGTACAGTTGTACAATGAGATACAGAGCATCTCCTACTCAGTGTAAACATGTTGGGGGGGGGGGGTACAGTTCTGCAGCGCTATATACATACGGACAGTATTAACATAGGGAAAAAGAGATATATATAATATGTACAAATATACAACCCGGTTTAAAAAAAAAAAAAAGTAATATGTAATAAATAGTGTTGTGTATATACAGTTCAGTTATTGCACATAGAATTGGTATTGCACAGTGGTGGTCCATAGAGGAAGTGGGAAGAAAAAAAATTGGGGGGGGGGGGGGGGGGGCTATGTTATCGGTGCATATGTGAGTTCGGGGTGGTTATGGCTTTGGGGAAGAAACTGTTTTTGAGTCTGTGGGTTTTTGTGCTGATGCACCTGTAGCGTTTCCCTGAGGAAGCAGGCTGAACATGTTGAAACCAGGGTGGGAGCTGTCCTTAATAATGTTTGCTGCTCTGCTGAGGCAATGGGAGGAATAAATGTCCATCAGGGAGGGGAGAGGGCAGTCGATGATCTTCTGTGCTGTCTTGACCACACTCTGAAGCCTCACTCTATCCGCCTTGGTGCAGCTGCCGTACCATACCGTGATGCAATAGGTTAGCAGGCTCTCAATGGACGAGCGGTAGAAGGTCAGCAGCAGGTTGGAGTTCAGCTTGTACTTCCTGAGGACTCTATCTCCACTATCTTCAGAACAGAAAATATGAAGTAATTCAGATCATACAAGATGCAAACAGAACTAACTTATCATTAGGAGAATAGTGAAATATATGTCCGACTAGAGTCTAAGTTTGTAGGAGGGATTAAGACCGACTCTGAAATACTGAGCAGCTGAAGTCAGAGGGTACTTTAACTTAAAGCTGAACCTTCTTCATTCAAAATAAGCATGGATAAGTTATCACAAAGCACCAGGTCAGATTTCAGGGCTTCACAAACATGGATATTGTGGCATAAACACCACAAAGTATCCATCATATTAAACTGACTCTTCAAAAATTTCTGCAATGTCAAGTGAGTCTTTGTGACAAGGGAGCAGCCTAAAGAAGCTTTTAACACTTACATATGCATACTTTGTGATTATTCCATGTGTTTGTGAGGCTCTATTTTATAATATTATAAGAGACATTATGCTTTAGTCCCTCTGACGCTACCTGGTTGCACCTCACCTCATAATTAATGTTATTCTTTCTTACAGCACAGTCCGGGACTGAAACATTTCCTACTCTGTTGATCACTGGACTTCTTTGTGGAATTTTACTGATTCTTCTTCTTCTGCTGTGTTACATCAAACTGTTAAAAGGTGAGACTTTTTCTTTCCGATATGAGATTGATTATGATCCCGTTATTATCTAATTATTCAGAATCACAGATGTATCCTGAACACTTCATGTAATGTCACAGCACCAGAAAAAGTAAAAAGAAAAACATGTACTTGTCTTTTTTACAGATAAATCTTTTATCAGGTTGGTTCAAATCTCCCACTTCACATTTTCAACAAACCAGAACTACAACCTGTGTTTCTTATCAAATTGAATGTTTTACTATATTTTATTACTATATTAGGACTCAGAGCACAAACCAGAGCTCTGCTATGAAACACAGGATCAACCAGAGTGAAGCTCAACACAGTCAAAACACTTCTCTCCAAGGTCAGCTTTAACCATAACAATTTTGCTATTGTTACTTTATTTATTCATTTATTTATTGTCACTTTGTGAACTTTGACTCTGATATTTGCAGTTTTTTTTATTTAAAAGATGATCAAATTCATATATAGAAATGTTAATGATTAATATGTCACTGACTTGTTTTTGCAGGTGATGCTTGTATATATGAATCAATCAGAGACTACGATGACAGAGAAAAGGGTAATGCATTTATAGTTTCATATAAGTATGCAGACTCATTGTGATTATGTTCCATTTTTATATATTAATTCTTCATTTTAGCAGAATGCAGGGATTTCACATATTCTTTGATTGAGCTTAAAAACTTCACTAAGAAAGGTAAGAATTCAAGTTAATTCAGTTCAATCCAGTTTTATTTATATAGGGCTAAATTACAATAACAACTGACTCATTGACCCTACAGTAAAACAGAGAAAACCCCAACAATCAGATGATCTGAAAGCCGAAGGCTCTGCCTTCCGTTCTACTTTTAAATATCCTAGGAACGACAAGTAAGCCTGTTGTCACAGTTAACTGAGGACTCAAGTGCAGGACTCCAATGCTTGGAAGAATACAGAGAATTTATTTATAATGTTCCAAGTGTATGCACAATAGTGCAAGGGTAGGTGTTTTATACAGGAGTGCATGGGTAGGGACTCTAAGAAATCCAAGGGAGGAAGAAAACAGTGAAATCACTCTTGCTCCTCTTCAGCCACACAACATAGACTGCCAGCCACTCTCCACTCGCTCATGAAAATCCACTCTGGGAAAACAGGGACAAGTCCAGATAATCTATAAGAATATATCTATATCTACAAGAACAAGAATATACAAACTAGTACGAGGGCAAAGAATCAACAAGAACTATGAACAGACTTGAGCTGGGGCTACACTGACACGAGTCATACAACGACCCAGCGATGAGTAGCTTCATTTCTTCAGCTTAAGTAGTGGCAGGGATAGGCAGGTGTGTGGGCTTTGTACAGAGCCCCAGATCCTGTGGAAGTGAATTTGTAAGTGTAAAGGTAAGAATGTCATCCTATTTTACCGTGATGAACTGTCCATCCTCTCATAGATGACAGCCTGTTGTACGCAGATGCCACCTACAGTAAGGCTGAATGTAACAGTGACAAAAGTAGGCAAAGCAATAAAATGGGTACCATATTTTCTTCTCTTTTACATTTCATTTATCCATCAAGGAAAATGATATAAATGGGTAAAGTTGTCCGTTTAAAGTAAGATGTTACTAAAAGTCATGTTGTTTTTTTATGGGCAGGAGAATCAGCCACTGAAGCAGCTGACGAAGGGGTTTATTCTGAAATCAAACCACAAGAAACACAAGGAACTTTCATGTTGTGACTGTAATGGTTATCAAATAGGTTTTAAAGAAAGTAAATGCATTACCAAATCACCTTTAACCATTTAATAATCATGATTATGTACTTTCAAAACAAGCAAAAGCAGACGAATGCAGGACAGAATTTACTTTATTTCACATGAATTTTACAAAGCATTGAAAAAAGAAATGAGAGGAAAAAAGTTTTTCCCCTTTTTTTTATAAATCAGTTTAAATGAGCTTTATCTAAAAGTGATGATGTGGCTTTAAGTTCACTTTTTTTTTTCACTTTCACATGAGCAGTTATTAAACTGCATTATTAATATATGTATATATGCTGATGTTTTCTATGTCTTTTCTAAATATTTTTGTTTCCCCAAATGGATTAAGTATCATTTGAAAAAAAAAATTTTTTTTAGTTTTACAAACTTCTAAACTGCAGGCAGGTTTTTCATTGTGTTATCTGATTATGTGTGCCATATAAACACACACTTTATATACTGTGACATGTTGGGATCAGGTGAATGGAGTCCCCCGCTGTGCTTCTGGAACAGTGTGTTTCACATTGAGTTTTAAAGAAGCTGTGTTTACTGTATTTGTTATAGTAATAAAGCTGCTATTGTTGCAATCTTGTTTTCACTTACAGTTATTGTTGTTGGGTTGGTGGAATAGAGATGTTACATCATGAGTGAAGTTATGTGCAGAGTTAGAGCCCTTTAGAGGCAAAGTTTGAGTGTCTTTAAATGCTTAATAAAATCGTGTCCCCCTTTGTCTTCATATATAGTGCAGCTGTCCATGGGACTAAAGTTTCACTTCATTCAAAGTTAAATAAGACTAAATTTGCAGCCTTCATTCTATTTTTGACTTCTACTCATTTATGTTTCACATTTCTGTTCATGTATAAATGAAGGAGGACAAATAAAGAAACTAAAAGAATTCATAGTGTTTTTATTATTATCCAAGCTTCACATCTTCATTACTCAAAACTCACAAACAGTGTAGAAGCAGGGCAAAAAAAAAGAAAAATCTGTACTAAACCAAACATTAAAACAAATCAGAAAAAAGATTGTTTTAAGAAAATAGATTTATTTTTAGAATTTATGATGATTGCCCCGTAAACCTAAGAACTCTTTAGGCCACCCTTAGCAGCCCTGTGAAGAGAAATTGTAGAAGGCAAAGGAACTCAGACTCAAGATATCTTAATACATGTGCACACATGGACGATCCCCCCTCATGGCCCGATCCATCCTGCACTGGATGTGTGCAGGACAAATGTGAGACAGAGGGAAGACCGCCCAGGGCATCCAGAACTTGCTTTATTTATACAAGTTTTCAAGGAAGTAGGAGTGGCAAAAACATTTCCATAAAAGGAAAAAGAGACCGTTAGCTTGTCAGTAGCTGAAACAGAAGATAACTTGGTATGTATAGAAATGCAGACATTCCCATATAAGGGGAGAGAGAGAGAGAGAAAGCCAGTTTGTCTGTAAGAATGACAGGAAGTGTCGTATGTCACCGCATTCCTCTACACATATGGCTTCAAGCTCTCCTCCTGTGTTGGCTCCAATTCACAAGCTCTTCTTTTAAATGAAGCTACAATCTAAGCATAATCACAAAATTAAAAAATCTCTCATCAAGCCCCGACTAGAATCAAGTGTTTGCGATAACTGGCAGGGAGTCTCTCTCAGCACTGTGGAGGAATTTTGGCCCACTCATCTTTGCAGAACTGTTGTAATTCAGCCATATTGTTGGGTTTTTTGAACATGAAACACGTTTTTAAGGCGCCTCAATCGGATTCAAGTCAGGACTTTGATGGGGCCACTCCAAAGTCTTCATTTTGTTTTTCCATGCAGAGGTGGACTTGCTGCTGTGTTTTGGATCAATGTGCGGCTGTAGCTGTGGGGTTTTTTTTACCTTGATGATCTGAAGTATTTAAGTGTGACAGACATACAATTTTAAAAAAAAGGAAATCAGGAAACTGGGCAAACACTGTTTCACACCACTGTATCCATCTGATCAATCCTTATTGTTTAACAAGTGGGCCAGAACAGGGAAGGCAGTGACCGCCATGAAATCGGAAACAGTGAACAAAAAAATGCAGTGGATGTTTTTCACTGTTTTTAACACTTTGTTTCACTTAAGCTCTTTGTATCTTACAAAAACTTAGTGTTGTGATTCATTAATGTGATTGTCACTGATGACAAGGTTGTATGAACTTTGAGAGACATCTGAAGTTTAAACATGCACAAAACTGCAAACTATTTTACTTGGAAAAGTCTTGGAAAACAACAAAAGTGAGTGCAGTGCTGAAGCCTCAAACATAAAAAATAATGTCTTTCTGTATTTCTTCAGCATCTTTTTGATTATTTTATGGCATCTTTTGCTAATCTGTGCTGTAAAGCAAAGGTTTCAGTAAAAGAAACATATATAGAGAAACATATAAAGATATATCGTCAGCACTATGAGCCTGTTTTGCAGATGTTTATTATGAGTTTGTTTCAGGTCCATAAAGAGAAATTAATTTTTGTAAGCATAAAAAACACCGAAACAAATAACTGAACTCTGTGAAGATATTCGACTTACCAAAACTTCTTTACAAAATGAAAAGTGTTTGTAGCTCCAAAAAACCAAAACTGTTATGATTTGAATTTAAACATTAAACAGGTCACTAAAGGTTAGTGTTTACTGTGAAGTATGTGAAGGTTCTCAGTCATCCAGGTCATCGTAGTCAAAGGAGCTTGCAAAGAAAAGCGTCTGGACTTCTTTAAGTTGCTTGAAGACGTTTCACCTCTCATCCGAGAAGCTTCTTCAGTTCTAAGGTCAAATGGTGGAGAGTCCCAGATATAAACCTAGTGGGAGTGACCCCCCACAGAGGGACAAAAGGACCCCCTGATGATCCTCTAATCACCTGAGCCAAGGTGTGAAATTGGGTGTGGGTCCCAATCAGCCAGAGTTTCGGGTGAGTTACTGTGAACCATTTTTAGGGCTCTGTCTCTGATTGTGATTATAAGACCTATGGGATGCACTTCAGTCTGCAACCACTTCCATTTCACACGTGGACTTGTAATCTATATCTGAATCAGATGTTCCTATAGTGATTTGGTCATGCCTGTCAGTTGTGGCTGCCACAGTGTCACGGTTGTTGGGTTTTTCTGTGTTTGTGTATTTATATTTGAGATTGGGTTGCTCTCTAGGTTTTATTGTTTAATGATTTATAAGGCCTTGATTACATTAAATTGCAAACACAGAAAGCTGGAAAAGTCATTCTTCTCCCCTGCTTGGGGCGCATGCATAGTTGTTTTAGTTTAATGTGAATTCTCCACAGACTTATCCATGCAGGCAGGACATCTGCACGGACTCACCGTCTGATGATGAAATTTACAGGCTCATTGACACGGCTTCAGTTCTTGCCTCTTGTGTTTGGGATTCATGGTTCAGTGAGCCGGACTTCAGCCTAAATGAAAGTGTCATCTTTTGTGGTTTTAGTCTGCATCATGATCATCATTTTGGTCATCTCCTCCTATGATCTGCAGTAAAACACATTATTACTTCCTGCCTCCTGCTGTGTGCTGGACTGTGTCAGAGTGCAGGTTGGCTCATGTCTACTGTGGTAGACTTCTGCCTGTGAAAGCAACATAGTCTGATAGTCCAGTTAACAATTAGCATGGAGAAAATGTCCAACCAAGAAGAAACATTTTTAAAGTAATTAATTAATTAATTAATTATTTTATTATCATTCAGTATGTTCATTGAAAAAACAAACTGGGAGAATTATTTGTTTATTTCATTCGCTTTAGTTTTGGTGTTACAGTAGTGCAGTAGCAGCAGTGTCGATGAGGCCCTGATGCCTTCATTTTTAACTTAGTGTGTAAATTAAACTCTGTGGTTGTTTATGTTACGTCAAACACACAACACAACAGTTGGTCAGCGTTTGTCCACTTTGCAGCCTCAGAGTGTACTGTGGTCTCAACACGTTTGCCTGTCACAGCAGCAAAGCTCTTGTAGAGGAACTGCACACATGCTGAGTGGAACTACTGACTGGCTGACTTGCAGGTGACAAAGCTGTTTGATTTATTGTTGTTGTTTGTTTTTTTGTTTCAGGATTAAGCTGATAGTCAAACACAAATGTGAGTAAATAAAACCCTATTTTCATTTTTTTCTGTTTTCAATATTTAGAAAATACATTTTGTAAATTAATCTGTCATATTTAACTGTAAGTTTTCCTTTTCAAGCCTGCTACAGAAGACCCATACATAAACTGTATGCACCAAGCATAATGAAAACTTTGATGAAGTTTTATTATTGTTTTATTTGTGATTTACATACAGCTGATTTGCTCAGCTCCTTCAACTTTATGTTGTTGGCCTCTTGTCAGTGCTGTGCACTTTTAGTTTCTCTTCCTGTATTTGTGCATTTGCACTTGCAGTTCGAAGAGCATTTATGGTGTAAAATTTAACAAACAATGTGAAAGTGCGTAGTATGACTTTAGATGAAAAAGCCATTCAATCATTTTCTCTTTGTTAGATAAATTTGTTCTTTCCTTGTCTTGGTCTACACAAGATAACTGCAGCATGTTATCTATTGTCAGTCACAAACTTATTCAAGTCATTTTATTTAACTGTCAAACCGATGCTTTCTATGCTGCAATGGATGATGATGGGCTCACAGGCAGTATTTTGAGTGAAATAAAGCTGAGCGTGTTATATGGTGTTACACATTAGTGCTGTAAAATGTCTGTCCGCACTTGCATTCTTAAACTGCATTCAGCTATATGTCTAAGCTGGCGTCCGTATAATATTTGTATGACTTCTGGCATGAAATAAAGAAATGTTTTATGAAGGTTTCTTTTCACTGAAGAAGCTTGATTATTTTTTTTTTCAGAAAGTCTCTTCTTGTTGCTAATCAGACTTTTCATTTGAAAGAAAGACTGATTACTGTGTTTTAGTGTTGTCGTGGAATAATGGTTTGTGGAGAAATCAAAAGTTGCTCCTAACAGTCGATTAGTATTCAGCTTATTGTGCTTCAAAAGTATGTGAAGAAACTGTTTTGCTTTGGCCTTTTTCAAATATGAAAGAATGTATTGGCATATCTTATCTCACTGTTCATCATGTCTGACCACTTCTGCTTTTTTATCCGACAGAACCCTCACGCACTCTCCACCTTCTATTTTATTTTTTTTATTTTTTGTCTGTGTTATCATGTCAACACACAATCACACATCAGAAGTGGAAACAGTCATTGTTCCTCTTCCCGTGGAGATGGTTGTTGGTGTTCTTTACTGCCAGAGCGCCTTCCTCAGATACAGTGTGGTGCTGTTTCTCGGGGACTGCCTCCAGGGTATGTGCAACTTGCAAAAACTTGAAAATGTATAGATGAAGAGGGGTTTTTGTTTTGTTTTTGTTTTTTTGTTTTTCCTGTGTTTGCAAATGCAAGCTAATTAATAGCACCATTAGTATCATTTGAAAAAAATACACGGACTTCTAAAATTAAAAATAAGTGTAAATGAATTCAGAACACCAACAGTTTTCTCATGATTGAAGCATGACTGGTTCAATCCCCTGCTCTCTGTCATGGTTGTTGTGTCCTTGGGCAAGACACTTCACCTACTGCTTACTGGTGTTGGCCAGAGTGGCACGATATGGCAGCCAGTCAGTCTGCCCCAGGGCAGCTGTGGCCACAACTGTAGCTTGCCTCCACTAGTGTGTGAATATGAGAGGGAATGAATAGTGCAGCGAGGGTCTTAAAAAGTGCTATATAAATTCAATCCATTATTATTATTATGCCATACCAGATGGTGCTCAGAATTTCTGAGAATTTATACCACCTCAGGGGGAATCAGTTTGTGTTTCTGTCTCTTGTTAGTTGTCAGTTTTAAGCTACAAAATATCTCATCTCTCCCTCTGAAAT